ACAGTAAAAACTTGCTTTTGGCCGGTGCAGTGTAATGCTGTAACACTTTTTTAACTGATTATGTCTTTCTGTTAACCACACCATTCCAGTTAAAGATAAAGGCACCGGTAACAAAACCAAGAACAGATTAAAAGCTCTTGTAATCAGCGGGAGTGTCGCAGCTGTGGTCGCAGTAACTTTGTGCATTATTTGCTACAAAATGAAACAACTTCATGCCGTTTTGGAGAAAAGGTTTGTAAGATATACTTTTTACATTATTATAGCCTAATTGCTCAGTTGATATAGCGCCCAATTAGTATCTGGGCTGTTGTGCGGGAGGTCGAGGGTTCGAGCCCCGGCCGGACCAACACTCAGGGTCTTAAAATAGTTGAGAAGAATTTGCTGCCTTTCTACAACATCAAGAAATGGTTAGTTATTCAAGTCTTCTCGGATAGGGACGAATAAATGGAGGTCCCGTCTCCTGCAGGGTTGGGGTAGGAAACGTTAATTTCCCACACACGAGATTACTGTGTGGTGGATGTCCTCCCCTGGGTGGGATGGGTGGGTTTACAGAGGGCCATGTGTTAGAAAACTCTTTACTGGGTTTAATCATTTATTTACCCTCATGAAATAAAGAACATTGTATTGTATTGAAGATTCACACTTCTTCGAAGCCTGAATTTGTTCCAGACTTCCTCATGATTCAATTTTTTTTATTGAAGTTTATTTGAGAGGAACATTTTGTTATGTAGTTTCATTTGTTGTAACTGTTCAACAGTTGATTTCTTTGGTTTTTTTTTTTTTTCACATTAATATTTAGCCCACTTTTAAGGTCAAAATCTAAAATCGTTCACTTATTACAACGGGAGGTGATCCCCGAGAGGGTAACTCTACTAGAAGAGTTGGGACAGGGAGCTTTTGGGAAAGTTCACAAAGGAGTTTTGAGAGAATTACCAAAATCTGAAGTCTTCTACAAACCAAAGAGGGAAAGGATCAACGAAGTGAGTAAAGAAACTGTTGTTGCTGTCAAAGTTTTATTAGGTAAGTAGATACCAAAAGAATACAAACTGTTTTCTCTTCAGGGATACTTGATATTTTAGACTGGCATTTTGATTTAAACGGGAGAATTGTTATAACAGAGGCAAGTAAGGATTTCAGCATGCTCGATTGCGGGCCACTGCCTTTGAAATAGTTGGCCATTCAAACAGCAATTGTTTGAACTTTACGTCTACACGTCAAAGGCGTGCCGCTTGTAGTAGAGGTCATATATATTGTCAAACTGCCAATGTTCAAAAGGAAAAAGGTTAAGCATTCCAAAAAACGATTATATAAGATAAGGGGAAAAGAACATATCAAATTGCCTTTGGATGGGATCGGAAGGAAAGAAAGACATAAAGGAAAAAGCAGTAGTATTTCAAAAAAGGGGTTTTTTTTAGGTATTTTTGTGTACACCTTGAAAATTGTGTTTAACCTCACTTAACTCGCAGATACGGCAAGCAAGGAAAATAAAAAACAGTTTCTGCAAGAAATTGAATTTATGAAGAAAATTGGTTCCCACAGGAATGTGCTGGGCATGATTGGCTACTGGGAAAGGTCAGAACCAATCATGCTCATCCTAGAATATGTTCCGCATGGAGATCTTCTTCTGTGGCTACGAAACAAAAGACAGGTACACAATATTCTCCCATGACGCCTCCATATGTCGATATGATTTCATTATGATACCTCCAGGATCCTAGCCAGACGAGACTCAGGGTGAGATCCACGTTCGATCCCTCTTGGTATACCGGTGATGTCGCGGCGATATAACGGGTGGGTTTCTTGGTGCGATACAAAGAGGTAAGTTCGCGATTCCATACGGGATCCTAAAGTGAACCCCGGAGACACTCCGTAGATATCGCGACGTCACTCCAGGTGGGATCCCGGAAACCCTCCTCGCCAACATGAGAATTATTCTCTCCCGGACTCTAGTGATGAACATATTTTACCAACCAAGGTCGTTTCTTGCTTCTTTCATTTCGACCTAGTTTATTTCATCGCATCAACATGCCGTAGGTGACCAAACTCCGTTCACTTGTGAACAGCAAAACAAAGGGGCAACACGAATGATGGGACTAACAAGAGGAATTCAGTTGACAGAAGATGATAACACAACTCGCTTGAATGAAAGCCCAGTTTCATTGGATCCCGAGAAAACTGAGGAAAATGCGGTCCGTCGGAGTGAGGTGAAGATCAGTGTTTCCCCTGGCAATGAACAACACGGCAAGGATAGTGAGGGCCTTTCTGCCGACGATCTTCTTTGCTTTGGATGGCAAATAAATCAGGGGATGGTGAGAAATTTTGAATTCTTTATCAATATTGTAAGGCACGGTAAATGGTCATTGTCCAAAGTCAAACGTTTTGGAAATGTTTTCACTGTTGAATTATTACAAATGTCAGAAATATTAAGATATGGTTGGAAAACAAAGACGACAAATATTGCTCAGTGAAGTTATAAGAACGGTATGTTACACTGGCCCTACACGAGTGGCCTGTTTCTTTCCGGCTTTCTGAGACTTTGAATGCATGATTTCTGGTGGCGACGTAGTTCGAAAAAAAAAAAATCTCTCATGTTTTCCGCTAACATTTCGGCTGGAAATGAATTTTGTTAAATATAATGTCGATTGTATCTAAAAGAGGGGCTAACTCAGTGATTGTAAATAATCAGCATCAAAGACTGAACGGCTTCTCTTTAACGAAACGCACTCTCAGGATTACTTGGCCGGCAGAGGATTTGTTCATCGGGATCTGGCTGCGCGTAATGTTCTTCTTGGTGAGGGCAGGACTGTTAAAATTGCTGACTTTGGACTGTTACGTCACACGTACGGTGAAATATACGAAGTGAAGCAGATGAAGAAACTGCCAATCAAATGGACGGCACCGGAAGCGCTCTTTTACGGCAGATATACTTCTAAAAGTGACGTGTAAGTATTCAGGTTGAGGTTTCATTGAGTAGTCCCATAGTTAAGTACAACAAATCAAATGTTTCTTTTTTTTTTTTCATATATGAATAAAGAAATTGGATGAGCAGGTAATATATGGGATCTAAAACTGATATCAGTGCTATACCCCGTCAAACATCCTCCCCGACTCGTCTTAAGTCTTTCTGGGGACTAAAAGCCTGAGAAACGCGCGTCTTGAATCCTAGTGAGGGCCTGCATGCAAACTATATAAGTTAAAGTGCAGACGATAAAGGTTTGTGTAACTTTGACTACAAATATATCATTGAAACTAAAGTACAATCTTTCTTGGTCAAATGAATTTTTTTTAGATGGTCTTTCGGAGTTCTCCTGTGGGAATTGGCTACGATGGGTAAGAGACTATTTGTGATTGCGCCTTACGAGAACTTACTTTTAAAAAAAAATAAAAAGTGAAGTCGAAAGTAATTTTGGATTGCTTTGCTGTGCTCTGTGATTGGTCCTGAAAACTCGCGCCACTCTCTCTCTCTCTCTCGACATGGTCGCCCGCGTTTTCCAGCGCTTTAGACAGCGGTTTGGTCGTTTTACTTGAGTTCTCATTGGTTCTCAAAAGGATTTTCCTTTCTTCTAATCGGTCGTTGTGATCAATTTGGTTTTGGCTTTACGACTATTAATCGAAAAGTGCTCTAATAAATTTTCAACTGAGTCATGGTGGTAAGATTGTCGCTCTAGTGAAGGATCTAAAATGATAGCATTTACATCTTTTATATGACTCTTAATTCTTCTTTCTATAAGGTTTTTCAAAATTGGTTACTCATTCTTCTTCGAGAGCTAGATTTTGAGGTATAGCTTCCATTGATTCCAAGAGTCTCCTGGGACACAACGACTTTTAATGAGTGAGATACGCTACAATCAAGTTATCTTAGTAATATAATGTTTGAACTATTATTCATCATTTGAACATTACTTCAGCTGAGGTAGAAACTCACTGTGTTGTTGTAACTGTGATAAAAATAATAAAGCTATAAATGGAGCAAGTCGAGTTGGAAGACATGAAACTTTGATTAGCAAAAGAAGTCATAATAGTGTAGTTGTGTGGCGAAGTTGAGTTTTAATAAGTATTGTGGTACATCGCTAATTGGTCATTTATTATATCTGGAAGGCGGCATTCCATATCCTGGAATAAGCAACAAAGAGTTATACAAACTTCTAAAGACCGGATATCGGATGGACAAACCAGACATGTGTTCTGAAGAAATGTGAGTACCTTTGACTATGGCTGTATGTATCTACAGGAATCACTTTTTAATGACAGACATAATGAAAGTTATTTTCATAGCTTGCTTTACACTTAACTGAATGACTCCTTCAGGACACCTCAGAGCATAGTAAGTTGTGCTTTTACTGGAGAATTTAAGTCAAAGACTCTCTTTGCTGATCATTGATGAACAATATGAGGCTTTCAGCGTTATTCGCGTAAAAGTAAAAATTCCTCAGTTGTGGTATATGAAGAAAATTCCCTCTCTTAGCATTTTTTTGTCGAAATCCCACTTAAACCTCTATTTTTCGCTATGTATCCCAGTCCTGGCTACCCAAATCTTATTTTTCGAAGAAAAATTCTGGAAATAACAGTCAACTCTCAGATTACATGTAAACATTTACATCTCATTAGATACAAGCTAATGCTGGAGTGCTGGAAGGAAGATCCCAAGGAAAGACCAACATTCAGGGACCTGATTCAAACACTGGAAGAAATGATGACTAAAGACACTCCTTACTATGACTTCGACAAACTGGACGAGAATGATGCTTGTTACGATGAAGTCATTTCTGACTGCAGTGACACTTACGATCCAGACACTCGGTTATAATTTGCTCATTTCAAATAATTGAAATGAGTTAAATCTTCAAGAGTAAAGTTAGCTCAAGAGCTAGTTGGTGCATCATGCCGGAGCTTCTAGCCTCCCTTCCCCCTTTAGACGGTGTACCATTTTATTATTTTATCGCTTCAAGCATTCATCAGGTTTTCCTAACAGTTCGACACTATTGTTGTAATATTAGGTGGCCCTGATGTTTAATGCGGGCCGCCCTCTAAAACAGCCATGTGCGTTTAGTGAAAAATACTATAATACCATCAGTTGCTAGAACTCACCATCGTTCAGTTAAATTGATAATTTTTTTGCTAAAACTTACGACAACTACCAATATTGGATCTTTCAAACAAAGACCATCGACAAGATTATATAGAACCCAGAGAGAGAGCAACACATGAGTATCTTGAAATCTTTACGTCAACTTAGCACTTCGTAATCTTCTGTAATAGGCAGCGTTTTCCTATAAGCCCAGTTCCTTAAAATGTGGAAGTGTAGAAACTCGAAAATGATTTCTTTTCTCGAAACTGAGCTAGTTTAGGTTCTAAGGTAATGAAGACGTAAAATTAACTTTATTCTGCGCTTTGTTGTTGGTTGTTGTTTAGGTGGCACGAGTACACTAGAATGACATAATAGGAAAGTTTTTTTTCCTCACTCACGAGTTCTTACCGTATTTTAAAGTAATTTCTTACCCATGATGGAACAATCAAATGGAAAAGATAAAATGTTGGCTTGATAGCTCAGTTGATAGAGCACTGCACCGGTATCGAAGAGGTCATGGGTTCAAATCTCATACGGGCCTGAATTTTTTTCAGGCCTTATTTCTAATACTACATAAGTAGGTCTTATAACTACGAGGATCCCTGTCATACATTTCATGAAACTGCAGTACACAAATCATATGATTTCATATATTCAAAATTCATCGTTTTTGTTGTTTTTAATTTATGTTTCTTAAGAGCTGCACACCCTGTAACGGCTAAATATGTAGTTGTCATTTCTCCAAGCTTTCCTCCAGTATGGCACATCTATAAAGTAACATGGTTTTATTCTGTAAAAGTGAATAACACACGTTAAAATTCGCGACATGATTCAAAGAGGGACTTGACAGGAATATGAAATATAAACTTAATTATTAAAAACTGGATCATTGGATAATGCAATTCAAGACTTTTTATTGGCTTAGCCATTATGGTATATCAGCCAATATACCATAATCTACAAATATGGTAAACTGGATCATTGGATAATGCAATTCAAGACTTTTTATTGGCTTAGCCATTATGGTATATCAGCCAATATACCATAATCTACAAATATGGTAAGCGTACGCGTCAGCTTAAAATCAAAAGGGAGCTAAAAATTCCGGTTTCCTCTTACAAAATAATAATTTCTTGGGGGCGTTTTTAATAAAACAATTATTCCACTCGCGCTTGTTGGATATGAGATGATTATAGCCAACTCGGCGCTACGCGCCTCGTTGGCTATCTATCATCTCATATCCAACGCACACTCGAGGAATAATTGTTAATTACTCGATGCTACAATAACAAAGCAGTTATGACAAAGAAGAAAACAAAGAGGTTGATGTCAATTAATATTCAAATAAAGTAATAATCATCACTGGTGAGCTGCGATTAAAAAAAAAAAAATGTTACAAAGAGGCCTGTAAAAAATTCAAGTCGCGACCGGATTCGAATTTGTGGCTCCAAGCTACTAGTTATGCGCTAACGCCAGATGAGTTTGGAAACATAGTTGGCTCATTATATACATGAGAGACGAACGATGCAAAGCTGTTACATTACTTCGTTTTTCACCTAGATGGGTTGACAGTACTTTATGGTTATTTTCGCAGCAAATTTCAAATAACAGTTTTAAGAACAAAGTAAACTTGACAAAATGGCTTCTTTAGGAGCCAACGCAAATTGCGAAACAGTGATCAACGCACCTGCTTCTAAGTTTGATACTCCCACTCGTGTCTCGCTGGGTTATACGTTTCATACTGACTTAGCGGGAAGAAAAGCAGATGAGGTTTGTGTGTATTACTTCTATTGGTTAGTTAATGATGAAAAATTAATTTTAAGGAGTAAATTTGAAGCAATATCCCTTGACTCTGTAACTCTTCATAAACCCTAATCGATGGTTTAATGTGTAATTACTTAACATGTGATATTTTGTGAGTTGAGTACTAAGTTTTTGCGAGCCCCGTAATACGGGCGATGAGCAAAATGTCCACTTAATTTTTTATATTTTATCATCGAATAAAGTGTAGTACTTATTATCTACTATTATCTCATTTTCTAACATTATGGCTCTAAGTTTTCGAAATAGATCCTACAACTTCATCTGACCATCGTATAAAAAAAAAATTGGTACGCTTAAATGTTCGTTTCTTTAAAAGTCAAGCCTTAAAAATGGCTGGAATATAACTGAGACCGTTCAGTGCGGCCCTTTAGTTGTTGTGCATTCGTTCATATTTTTGCCCTATTCTATGGTGCAATTCCGTGGCATATTTCGCAAGTTCTAATGCCCTTATTTGGTAAAATGGCGTTAGAGTGGTATAATAAACATATCTTATTAGACGTTTGGGTGTTTGTATCGCTGAATATTTATTATTTCAACGCAGCGATACTGCACACCAAAACGTCTAATAAGTTATCTATTACCCAGCTGCTTTTTTTATGTGCAGTTGTAAAAAGGTGGAAAAAGCGAAGTAGATAGAGTAGCGAGGCATGCGTATTCGACAGGTTAAACGGTTTTTTTTTTTTTTTTTAAATACAAAATAATCGATTATGCATCTTCCCAAACATCGCGTGATATTTGTTATTGATTCGGGCGTTATTTGTACTCTACTTAATGCAGTTGGATGGTAATTACTATTATTCAATGATTGTTTCATTCGATGCACACATGAGTAATCGTTGTAAGCACCTCCCAAAAAGAGGAAGACTCATCTAAGGATCTTATTCAGGGGTGTGCTCTGCTTTGATGACCACGAATGTTTTCTGAAGCAAGTAGTAGAAAATAGGTATGTAATTTACCATCCCCAACACCGATTTTAAACCCAGTGTAGGTTATGCTATTTTTTAGATGATTTCTCACTGAAGTGATCATAACTTATTTCATGTACTAAAAGAACTTTTATACTGATCAGCGAGAAGGGAGCAAACCATATGCACAAACTATACGCAATAACGCGCACAACAACTGTTGATTCTTAAAATTTAAATCTCATATTTGCCTGGATGAGTGGGTAAAATCTAAAACTGTTTCAAATAATAGGACGCTTTTAAAAAGAAATTGTGGCCCGAGTACATAAAGAAAACANGGGAAGTTTTTATTTCGGACTCGTCCACTTTCGTGTAAACAGCAGAATGAATCCGGTACTAAAACGTTTCGGATTCATCACGAATCCGGAACAATTTCCTCTAGTGTAAACCTAGTCTTAAAAGTGCTAAGATTTTTTTTTTCCGACGTTGATGAAATTCACGCACACACTTCAGCTTTTATGGCGCTTGCAAAAATTAAGTTTAGATAATCACATGTGGCTGTACTGTGTAAAATTGAAGATTAATATCACTTGTGTTTTCAGAAGTTGCGATATTGCCCTTAAAATTACTTGAATTTCATGACTGTTTTCAATTTCAACTAACTTTTCACAGGGCAATAACCAAAATTAATGAAAAATGCCCTCTGTCAGCCAATCAGTATTTATTAAGTTTTCCTGTTTTAACTGATGTTATAAGCGAAAAACAGGAATTTCAATGTCCGATCGGTGTTCGTGTATTAAGTCGTAGTTGTATGTACAGGTAAAATCAAAGTAACAAAAATTATTATTGCTTTTGTTTCGTTTAAAACTGCGTCAGTTATCATCTCGCGCGTGCGCGTAATAAAAAAACCAAACGTATCGACACCTATGTAGGTGATATTTATCGTGTTTGTTTAAGAGGGCGTCCCACATGAAAGAGCTAAGATTCTTGCCTTCGTGTTTGTTAAATTTACCCACAAAATTAAGTTTTTGTGAGCATGAAGCAAAAAGGTACATGAAAGGCAACTTTTAAATACGGTGTCTGTCGTCTATTACAAGGACAGTTATCGTTCACACAATAGGAGCGTTGTTCAATACTTAGGGCATAGTTTGATTTGAGTAAGAACTTTTATGTCGTCTCACCCGCTATTTCCTCTTTATTTTTCAACGACTTGGGGAAACTACTGGCTCTTAGGGAATCTTTTGTTTTGTTTTGTCTCATCTGCTTGAAGCTTTAATTGCCTTCCATCCTCGGAGACCCAGGGGCTGTGGGTCGATTTCAAGTTAGGGCGTGAAGAGCCCCTGGGGACATTGTCTTTCAAGACAAGTTCCAAACGGTCGAAGTCGTTCTGCCATCTGATTGGTGCCAGAAAATCTTTGTTTTTCTGCCCAATCAGAGTGAAGTGTGCTTTAGAGTCCTTTCGTGTGTTTTAACACGGACATATACTACTAGCTCAGTGGCTCGCTATGTTTGTTTGGACCGTGCGACGGAGATTTGCTTGAGGCGAAAAGTTTCAGTCTCGGCACACAATGTAAGGGAAATCGATCAGATTGTCAGCGAAAATCTTACCGGAAATTATACTGAATACTTTCGCAGGTATCACTAGAGAACGTGTTTTAAAGTTTGCGAGGTTTGTATACAACACGATGGTTGCAGTCATTGATATGTCGCTTTAAACGTTAAACGAGATTTAAGCTTAAATCTTTCTAGATTTTTTGCATAATTTGCTGTGACTGAAACTTTGCCAATCCCGTGAAGTTATTTCGTCGCACGGGCCACGCAGGTATGTCGAGCAACTGGTACTTGCGCAACTTTCTGTGCGTGCCAANTGAGCTAGTAGTATATGTCCGTGTTAAAACACACGAAAGGACTCTAAAGCACACTTCACTCTGATTGGGCAGAAAAACAAAGATTTTCTGGCACCAATCAGATGGCAGAACGACTGCGACCGTTTGGAACTAGTCTTGTAAGACCATGTCCCCAGGGGCTCTTCACGCCCTAACTTGAAATCGACTCATCCCGTGGGTCTCCGAGGATGATTGCCTTCGTGATCGAGGACTGTTTTCTGTGGATCCAGTTTTCTGTATCTTTATCTAATCATTCTGGTGACACTTGCAAGGTTTTTTTCGTAGATTTCTCTGTCGACAGGCTTTCAATATTTATTCGGGATGATAACCTTTGAGATGGAGACACTAGAATCTGTTTCTGTGTAGAACGTAACCTTCGGCAAGGTTATGCTGAGACTGAATGTTAACTGAAATTTCTTGCGAGTACCTGGGAAAGCAAATACTACAAATACCGCGCGATATTTGTACTCGTCTATGGCGTTATTTGTACTCTACGGAGTGTAGTTGAATAATAAATATATCTTATTAGACGTTTTATTTTGTAGTATCGCTGAGTATTTTTACGAGTTGGTGGTAGCGATATCTCGCCGTCAGCAAACTATTCATCGCTAAGCTGTAATGATATATCGCTCGGGGTAAACAGTACGTTGCAAGATATTGTTGGGGGGCAGCGATATCTTTTTGGATGTTAACTATAGACTAGCGAGGGAAAACGATATAACGCGGAGTGAAAATTATATGACGCAGAATAAACGATATATTGCTGATGTGTACTTTGCGATATGATGGTCATGGACTAAGCCATCGAACACGGCAGAACACTTCTCTCTCTGGTGGTTACTGGTGATCATTAGAGTGTTCTTCTACGGTGGCTATTAGAAATTAAAGCGAAGTGATAGGACACCAATAACCACATCATTAAGATTTTTCCCTTAACTATGTATTTGCTGAAGATTGCCACTTTGAAAAAAATAACCTCGCTGCACCCTTCGGCTGAACTCTTTCTTTTCCTCGTTTTCATCTGGTACTCCCCCAAAATATTGCATTGAGAAACTTATATTAGTTTTATAAATGTTTGGTTTCAGTATTTACTGTTAGCGACGCAGAAGCATGTCCTGTACAAAATGTGACGACCTGGTCAGGCACTATTCAACCTCAATATTACCCACGACCTTACAAACCAAACATGGATTGTTACTGGCTGGTACAAGTGTCACAAGGAAATCGCATCGAATTAAACTTTCTAGATTTTGCGGTAAGAACGGTCATGCAATTAAACTACGAAGATGATTTTCTCATTTTTTGCAAGCAATGGGTGTAGCTATAACAGTCTTTTCTTTTCTCTTTTAGATGGACGCCATTCGGGTACGACAGGCTTTTTTCTGCTGTCTTGAATTCTAAGTACATGTTATATTTCACGCGCATTTCCATCACATAGTGACCTAGTGAGCTTTTCACTCTTGTAATATACCGCCAGAATATAACCCTAGCCCTAATCCTAACTCGGGTGATTTCCTAAATGATGATATCATATAAAGAAGTAAGTTTAATCTCTGGTCTTCTAGAAAAAATCATCACTTTAAAATGCTCTAAAGCAGGTTTTGTTGTTGTTTTAATGATGAAATTGTTTTTCTATCAATTTAACTCCTTAAAGCAGTGTGGTCGTCGGTATACCTCCTAACAAAGATATGAAAATCGAGGGAAAAAGAGAGGAAAATAGCTTTCAAATTCTGATTGCTCGACAGAGTGAAGAAGTTGGCACTTGTCCTTATGATTATGTTGTTGTAATGGATGGTTCCTTTGGCAGCACAAACATAGTTATACGACTCTGTGGCACTACAATCAACACTCTATCATCATGTGGCGGCCAGAAGACGATGGTTTCGACGACTAACTCAGTGCTCGTGCATATGCACACAGACGACAAGAACGAAAATCGAGGATTTATAGCTAGCTACCAGGGTAGGAAAACATATCATTTAAGCAAAGCTTTCCAGTGCTAAACAGTGGAACATTCTAAATTTACGCATATCTAGACATGCAGAATCAAGTTTCCTCCAGGTTTCGCAATTGAGATCGGCACGGTTTAGAGGGTGTTAGACAATCCCCTTCCTATAAAGGTATTTTTCTAAATCTCGCAATAAAATTTTACATGTATATATTTATGTTTATCCAGGTATTTGTAAAGTGATTTTCTCTTCAGTCAGTGGAACCATCATGTCCCCAAATCATCCAAATAACTATCCAAACGGCGCTAAGTGTGAGTGGATCATTGATCTTGGTCCAGGATATAACATAACCCTTACATTTCATAAATTTGTCTTGGAAACAAAAGAAAATTGTGAATATGATTGGGTTAGAGTACAAGAGGGAAACAACGAAGACTCCCCAAAAAAAGGCACTTTCTGCTCAGATGTGCTGCCTCCTGATATAACAACTGTTGGACCGATGAGGATTGTCTTTGAATCGGATGGTGACAAAGAGTACGAAGGATTTTACATGACATGGTTGGCACAGGGTAGGAGATTACCGCTAGAAGTGTCTCTTATTGAAGTTTTCAAAGACCACAGCTTAATAAATGGAATGATAGCAGTGTTTCAAACGGAATACAGAGGATAAGCTTCTAAAAAAACGAATCAGGTCAGACCGGCACGTCCACCCTAATAAAACGATCAGGAGATCTAAAATGCGTGTCAATTTCTAAATCTTTTTCTTTTTTTACACTGTTGTATCTCTAAACAGTCCTCATTATTTCTGATAGATCGAAACGAATGTCTTGAACCTGATATCTGCCATGCCAATGCAACTTGTGCTAACACAGCAGGTTCCTATCAGTGCACCTGTAAGCTGAGTTACACTGGGGACGGTAAATCCTGTACGTGGTACAAAGGTGAAGCATTGTGGCAAAATTGATCAATCCTCAGAAATATTCAGCTTTATAGAAAGGCCAAATTAACATGATATAGAAAACATGAAGCCATAAGTAATTATATTAATTGTTAGCTCGATGAAGAGACAATCCTCAACCATATACTTTTGCATAGAAAACTTTTGTTGTAGTGAAAGACTTAGGAGAAAAGAGGTACGCAGTGGATGAAGACCGGCTCTGTTGATACAAAACCGGACAGATTTATTTGAAAAGATCATAGATAATATAATTTTAATGAGCTCATTCAAACAGTTAAGCACTAAACTGCTAAACACTATCTCAAAAACTATCTAAGAAATGTCATTGTTTATTTTTCTTGAATTCTTCGCTGATTGATGAACTGCTACTCCATAACATAAATATTTCTATGATTTGTGCCTGTCCTGATACTCTACAGATTTTAATGAGTGTGAGTCAAACCTTGACAACTGCCATGTGGACGCCATTTGTATAAACACGCCTACCCATTTTGAGTGCATGCGTAAACCTGGCTTCTTAGGAGATGGCCTTTCCTGTGTTGGTAAGTGCAGTCCATCCATACCAAATGCAGATACATTTTCTGGTCATGAGAATCAATCCTGAGCCATTGAACACGTTGGAACTCTAGGAAGAAGGAAAATTGAACTTATAAATACAGGGTTAAGGTAATTCATTCCCCACCGAGAACTTATTTGGATGGATTTGAATTATTTGCTTTTGTCAAATTCCGATTCTTTTCTCAAGATTCTGGTACATCTTGTGGTATCATTAAAGTTTATTCTAAAATGGGATATCACTTTTTCAATAAGGTTTTTTCTCTCAAGAACTATTTTATTCATTATACTTGCTGATCTCTGTTTAACTGTATTATCATTACAAAAAAAGGGTAGGAGATTGCTGTGAGAAGTGTCTTTTACTGAAGCTTTCAAAACCCGTGTAACCGTGATCTGAGAATGAATCGTATATACAGAGAATAAGCTGCACAAAATGAATAATAATAATAATCATAATAATAGCTTTATTGGTACATCCAATCAAAATGGGTCTTCCATACCAATTACAATAAAATGTAATATAAACAATATAAGCATTTAAAAGTGATAAGAACTTACATTACCGTGTTATTAAAAACTTAAGATATATAATTCATTATAACACCAATTGAAAGTCAATGGCTTAAAAATTCGTCAAGGGCACGTCCTTTAATGGCATTCTTAAAAACATTAAAAGACTCCCTGTTTGTTAAACTTTCTGGAAGATCATTCCAGAGCTGAGCAGCCCTATATGAGAAGGATCGCTGACCTGTTGCTGATCTAAAAAATGGTATATTTAGCTTATCTTTATTCCTAGTATTTCTTGTATGCACCTGGCTTCTTGTCGTGAAGGACAAAGAAGGTGGGGCTAATCCCTTTATACAATTAAAAGCCATTAAAGTGTCTCTATTGAACTTCCAGTTGTTTAGCCACCGGCAACCAGTGAAGTTCCTTTAGTATCGGCGTAATGTGATCATACTTCCTTGCGCCAGTCACGATCCGTGCAGCAAAATTCTGAACTTTTTGAAGCCTAGCAATGTTCTTTTTTGTTGTACTAGCCCACATGGATGAACGGTAGAAAAGCTTGCTGAGGACTAGTGAATTAATCATGGTTATAAGCGTAGACCTATCGAACAAATGTTTCACACGATTGATTTGACACAGGCTACCTATACACTTATTAGATACAACTTCGGTCACATGTTCGTCAAAACAGAGGTGAGAGTCCACGATGACCGCCAAATCTTTTGCAGAACAAGACATTAGTATCTCTTTGCTGAGCAGCGTAACTCCAAAGCCCTTCGGCACGCGAGCTAACATCTGAGGGGTTCCAAGAAGCAATAGCTAAATAAATAGCTAAATAAATTCAAACAGGTCCACCCTTTAATTAAAGAAAATCAGGATTTATAAGATACAGAGTCCGCCTTTATTTTTTTCTTTTTTTTTGGACAACTGTTATATCCTTAAACAAACGTTCCTCATTACTGCAAATAGATCGAAACGAGTGCCTTGAGCCTGGTATCTGCCATGCCAATGCAACTTGTGCTAACACAGCAGGTTCCTATCAGTGCACCTGTATGCTGAGTTACACTGGAGACGGTAAATTCTGTACGTGGTACAAAGGTAAAACGTTGTAGCATAATTGAGCTCGGCTCAGAAATATTTAGCTTTATTACACGACTCGGGCAGTCAGAGGGCCAATAACTAAAATCAACCAATCAAAATGTTCTATTGCCGGTCAATATTCTCTCAGTATTGGACCGGGCACTGTCCCGAATGGTCCCGAATGATACCGCACTTGTGTCCCTTTGAACTTCAGTCGTATAATAAATCTCTTATTAACCAAGCTTGCTCGGGACCGTACTGGAAGAATATCGGCCCTCGATCATTTTTGTACGGACCTCGCTGCGCTCGGTCCGTACTGTCAAGACCTCGGGCCGATATTCTCCCAGTACGGCCCTCGCGCTTGGTTAATAAGATATATTTATTGAGAGAGGATAAAGAGCCCCAATCCAGAGGCACAACCCGTGCACTCCTTCTCTCCCTTTCCGCCTCTCTAGGACCTGTGAACATCTTCTGTGTCTATGCCGCAACCGCCATGTTTTTCCTTCAAAGTCAAAAGACCATTTCTATGAGTCATTCCAAGCACTGAACATCTTTACCTTCTTGCTGACTTCAATGCTCGAGAAGGTGACGATCAAGCTCTGTTGATGCAAGACCGAACAGACTCATCTGAAACAATCGTAAAAAATAACTTAATAAATCTGTGCGGTTCTAATGGTTATTCAGACAATTAGGTATCAGAAATTCTCTCTGTCAGTAGCTGTCTCAGAAATGTCACTTTTTACTTTCTATAATCTATGATGTGTATATTTATAACATTTGTGCTTGGCCTGATACTTTACAGATTTTAATGAGTGTGACTTGAACCTTGATAACTGCCATGAGGACGCACTGTGTATAAACACGCTTACCCACTTTGAGTGCAAATGTGAACCTGGCTATTTAGGAGATGGCCTTAACTGTACTGGTAAGTGTATTTCTTTGTTACCTGACGCCACCCTTAATAGCGCGATCTTTCTTTGAATGGTGTTGATCACACGGTTTCGACTTTCTTTTCGATCACTCCGCTCCTGGATGACTCTCAGAAAAAGGCCGATGAAAATCTATTTATTTTCCCATAAGATGGTCCAATTTAAGTTTCATTTCCGTAAAATGTAACCATAAATGCCATATGGTGTAGAATAAATTCAATTTTCTAAGGTAAATCAGTTTTAAAATAACCACAGGAAAATTACATTCCAACTTAGTAGTAAAGTATGGGGGCTTTTTGCATTGAACTAATATGCTGCCTTACAGAAAAATCAAGAGATATTTTTTACGTTTGACCGATCATGATACCTATCATTCTATCCATCTCTCTCTCTCTTTCTCCCTACCGCCCTTTTACCCCCTCCCCTCTGCATACATCTTAAGGTCTTTAGGTCCTTCTGTCCGTCCGTTCGTATGTTTACTCAAATCAAACTTTTTTTCTTTCAGTTAAAGCAAATGTTTCACTAAATAATTCGGAAGCCACAACGAAAACACCAGGTAATCAGCTGATAGATGTCTTGTGGCTTTAAAATAATCATATCATGACCAAATTTGAAACGCAAGTTATCGTGTTAATTTTTTTCTGCTAATGGAATATATTTGAAAGTTTTTCCCTCTATCAGGCAAGGGAATCTCAGATAATTATGAAATTCATGCCGAGAAAAATCATTTAAAAACAAACTCCTGGCTTGTTTAATTTTTATTTTCTTGTTGAAATGTTTTTCCTTTCTTTTTCTTTTTTCAGGGACAACTGAGTTAGATCTTCCACCGCCTTCTATGGGAAACAACTCTGAACAAGGTTGTTGTATTGTATTGTATTGTATTGTAATCTTTATTTAGACACGATCAATTCATCAGCCTATAAAAATACATATCACATACGCTAAGATATTTGAAATTAAAACTACATACTATAACACTAAAGCTGTTTTCCGTGAATGCCGTGCGTTAGACTTAAAAAAT